ACCCATCTTTCTATGCCATCAACTCCCCATCTCATCAAAGTGACCCTGAGTGTTGATGTTATACCATGTTCCACCATCAGGTTTCAAAATTTGCGGTGATAATAATGATGGTTTTACTAAGAGGTTCTTATATCCCAGGTACTGTACTGCATGATTAAGAAAACGAGATTCACCATTATTGAGACTAGAATTTCCAGTAGTTGCCTTGTAAACAAGCTCACATGTCTTAGTTCTCCCAGGATTGTATTGGTCGTCCCAGCGTTGTGGCAGACCCTCTCCTAATTCTTGTGGGTCACAGGGTAGGAGCAAAAATAGTAAAGTCTATGGATCACTCCACCATTTTTCTTCTCACAAATAGGCGCCGTTTGCACGTGTCTCAGTCTGTCCCTGATGCTGCTGTGAAATAATCCAGAGCTGTAGCCTGCTGTAGCTCAAGTGAAAGAGTGAATAACAAGCTCAAGCCCTGAGTTCAATCTCCAGTACCAAAAACTTTTTTAAAAAGTACAAAGAAATACTTATTATTAGGCAATTTTTAAGAAGAAGGTCTGGCCAGGACCATTTTCCAAAATGGTATCTTTGTTGCTGGGTATTCACATGGTGGAAAAGTAGGCAGGCAAAAAGGGGCCCCGCTAGATTGCTCTCTCCCTTTTACAAGGGTGCTGATCCTTTGACAATCTCCTTTTAGGAAAAAAAAAGTCACCTCTCAATGCTGTCATGCTTGTCTTAGTCTCTGGCATGTGGCTTTGTGGAGACAGATTAAAAACACAGCAAGTGTGTGTGGGCACACCAGCTTACATAGTCAGAGTCCACCTCAAAGTCTGCTGCTCATTGGCCATACTTTGGAACTAGAGATGCATCCACTTGCCACTTTGTCTGACCTTTGGAACATGTTCTTGGGGAAGAGGGTAAACGCGGCCATTTGAGCATGAATTCTAGGATCCCATGGATCCTAGAAGGGGCACGGTTTGGGGCAGTAGAACCCTTTGAGCCATGAAGCATAGGTTGAGAAGAAATGAATGAATCTCTCTAAATCCCACTGGAGAGGAAAGGGGGCCTGGGAGTTTCTGTAGATATTGCTTCAAATGCACCCTTTCTATGGCAAACACGTTTTGGACATGGTGGGACATATCTGGACAAACAGTTCTAGCATCACCTTTCTGAGCTATATATGACAATGCACATTATGGCCTGTTACTGTTCCAACTAGTGAAATAGGGAAAGTAATTCCATGGTGACCACAGATGCCGCTCAACAATGCTCTCAGCAATAGGATCACACACTTCTTCCTCTCTTTGAGTTACTCGTGGCCATTGGACATGAGCGATGCAGTGATGATGAGTGATGGTGGTCTATAGCTTGTGTTTGGCTCTGCAGTGGGTACAGGTGAGAGAATGCATTGCTTAGCCCCTACACTGCTGCTGCCATGGACCGTGGCCAACCACAGCTGGCTTTGGAGAAACCAACATTAAACCCTTGTTGCTTTAAACCCTTGAGATGGTAGGGCTGTTTGTTATAGCAGCAATAAGCCAGCTTAGACTTTCTTACAAGATCCCGCCACGATTATGAAGGCTGCGTGAGAAATGTCAGTAGGCATTGTTTTTGGAACTCCCATTAGTATTTATCCTGGAAATGAAATGCTCATAATCACCCATTATACACGTGCCTTCAAGGCAGGAAAATATGCAGTTACGTTTGTTTTCTTGGAGGCACTTCTGTGGGGAGTTGTATGTTTCTTTATACTCAAGGCCTCACATTGGTTTATCAAGCATTCTGCTACTAGAGTTCTCTTGTGTTCTTTCGCTCTCAGCTTGTTTTTCAGACAGGATACTGTGCTAACTTTGACAAGGTGGGGCAAGAACCATAATCCTCATCTATACTTCCCCAAGTAGTGGGGATCATAGGTTGTGGTCTACCAGTCCTAGATTGTGTTTTCTATTTTCTGTGAGAAAAATGACAAAGGTAGGTAAGGGGACAAGGGGCAAACTAGATATAATTTGCTTAGTTTGTTGTCCTCTGAGATTCAGTACTACTGAGTAGGGATAGTTAGTTTGGAAATAACTTTCAAGTTTGGTCAATTTTAGGAGTTTACATGCTGATGATGTAGTCTTTCCAGGCCTCCAATTTTTAATACTTTGGTGTGAGCCAAAGCAGTGAATGTTATGACACTCATTGGGTTTTAGAGGGAAATTCTAGCACTATAAAACTGTTTATGACTCTGGACAGGGCCAATTCTCAGATGCATGGTCCTAGAGAAAGCCAGGATGTTATAAAGGTGGCTAAATAAATCTAGGATGATTTAAAAAGAAAAACTTCAGCCACTGTGTCATCCTACTAGGTATTTGGGCTGAGCTGTTAACAAGTATTCACTTCATTCCTGTTTGCTGGGCATCTCTGAATACCTATGACCTGGTATGTTTATTAACAAGGGACCAACTCTAAAATCCAAGCAGGTCAAGAAAACCTTCAGGTATTGCAGATTTTCTCAAACCATTTTGGTGACATTTGGATTCATTCAAAAACCTACAGTAAGAGGCGAGAAGTAAAAATGTGTTCATGGCTTGCTTAGACAGAATATGGCTGCGAGCAATTAGTGCTTTCAGTCACATTAAGCATTAAATAATGTCTTGTGACATTACAGTATTTCCCATTACAAATCAATTTTGTAGCATTTGTTCATAATTAGACCTGAAATATTACCTCGAAACAAAATCTGTTTTCCTTGCAAAAGTCAGACCTCATTAGAAATCTAAGGTTTTATGAATCACCATGTTAACAGTGACACCCCCCTGGCTAAGGTTTTCTTTCTTTAAATAGTGTTAAATGCAAATCTCATCCAGAGTTATTCTTCTTTGTGCACCGACTTGAGAGGAAAAACAATGCTCCAAATACATCTAGTGTCCCACTATGGGCAACTTAATACACCAACAATGATCACCTTTTGCAGAGAAACAGTGTGAACACACCTTGCAATTATGTGCTTATTCAAGTTACATGTTACTTTTACTATTATTTTTTCTTTAGGTGCACTAGGAGTCATGCTTGAACTCAGCCTCTTAATTCTCACTTGGCTTTTCCACTCAAGGTTGGTGTTCTACCATTTGAACCACACCTCCATTTTTTTTAAAGTAGACTCAGGGACTTTTCTTCCAGGGCTGACTGCAAAAATCTTGATCCTCAGATCTGTCTCCTGAGTGGCTAGGATTACAGGTGTGAACTATCAGAGCCAGGCTATGACACTATTTTCTATTTCCCTAAAGACAGACATTTATTATCTGACAAAAGAGAAGTCTCCCACACATTTCCAGGTAAGAGGAGTTTATTCTCATTTCCTGACCATATAAGCATGTTAGGGGTCAACAAAGGAACAGAAGATATGTGTGAAAACCAAGAGTTTTAGATTTGAAGTCTTCCTCCACTATTCAATCATTGTGGCATCTTGGGCACACTGTGTAACTTTCTATCCTACAAATGTTAGCGAGGATATTTTCTTTGGCTACAACTATCAAAGTTCCATTTGTTCAACAAATAATGATAGAGTGGAGTGACACTCTACTGTGCTAGATCCTAGGAAAGAGCAGCTGATGTGATACAAATGGTGTTCTCATAAAGCTTGTATTCTAGCTTGGAGCACAGGAATGATGTGCAAACAAGATGTCAGGTGGTGTTACTGATGGAATGGTGTCCCCCAAAGATATACCCATGAATCCAGCCCAGGAAAAAATAAGAAAGTTAACAAGACCCCCTTCTTAACAAACCTGGCCTGGTGGTTCATACATGTAATACCAGCTACGTGGAAAGTATAGAAGAGAACTAAGACTTAGGGATGGCCCTGGGCACAATCAAAACCTAAATGCAGAAAAGGCTGGAGGTGTGGACCAAGTAGTTGAGCACTTGCCTAGCAATCACATGGCAACAAGTTCTAATCCCAGGACCACCAAAACAACCAAAACACAACCTGTAGATACTCTAACTACATAGAAAGGGAAAAATGATAAGCCTATAGTAAGGAGTAAATACAGATTATATTCCAAACATGCCAGTAAATGCATTAAGGGCCCCAGATCCTTTACAATCACATTCATCACAACTTACCCCTCCATTTAATTCTTTATGAAAAATGCTGTCACGAATAGTATCAGTGAGGTCAAACACAACAGGACACAGTAACAAATCCTCAAGATGATCCTTTATTCTATTGTTTCCAATATATCATTTCTTATCATTCACTCAAAGGCTCAGAACATCACTGTGTCCCACCTCTATAGTGTAAGCCGTCCTGAGGTGGAGCTGAGGATGTGAGTTCACTGGATGAATACCCTAGAATCTCACAACTTCATTTCAATTCAGAATCACTGAGGAAATGGATTATATTTCTAGCCACTACTTCAAAGATCAGGTCTACCTCATTTCCATGTAAAGAAAATCTTCTCAAAAATACTTAAAGGTCTCTCCATGTTGGTATAATTCTTCAAATGCCCAACCTCCATCATTTCCCTACCTCTAAAATTCCTTCCTTGTTCACATTATCTTTTTTGATTGCTTTTTATAAAAACAGCAAACAAAAATCTGGATTAATTATGCACCTACAGAAAAATGCACAGAGACTTGTATACCACTTATAGTAACAGTTCAAAATAGGTCAAGAAAGAATCAAAAATCTTAGACTTGCTCTGAAATAAGTCTAAGGAAATACCACTGACTGTTTAACAGTGGTAAATATTTTTTAAAAAAATATGATAGTTCACATACACAGCAGTCACCATATATGCTACCGCCCCCCCCCCAAAGTTCTGAGTAGCAGAACTTTATCGAGTTTCATTACCCTTTTACTTACATTTAGTGGGAAAAAAACAATAACTCTTTGGAAGTCATGCTGTAGCAATGTATCCCCGTGGAGCACTGTAATTTGCTATGATTCTAATGTGTTTTTAGAAATCTTACTGAAAAAAAAAAGTGAGGATCACTTTCCAGTAAATATGGAGTGAAAAGTAATTTTTTTACCCCAATCTGAGGTATAATGCTTTTTTAGGGATACAATTGCTGTAAATCAGATGAAAATAGCGACCACCCAAGACAGTAAGAGACCTCAGACAGTCTGCCTCATTACAATGAATGTCCATCAAAGTTCATCGTGATTTTTTGTGAGATCCTCCCCGTAATTTGTAGCTTGACTTCCAACAAACATGTTCCAGTTGTCCAAGATCTCCTCTTTAGTTAGCTTCTCATCCTGTGAAGAGAGGGAAGAGCCATCATGGGAGGCCAGGTAAGCATGAACCTGTTGTTGGGTGAGACATTTGTTATATCTTTGATTTAAAATGTTTCCTCTTCTGTTACGTGCTGCACACCTCCAAAATGGAATAACTTCATGCTGTAAAAGCTGTACTCAAGGGTCCCGGCTCAGTACCTGGGTGACTCAGAAGCTGGAATCCATTAATATCTACAGGCAGTGCAGGTGTTCCCAAAGCAACCCTGAGGAACCCCACTGCCCTTGAGGGCCAAACTTGTCTGTACTCTGGGGACCTTGTGGCAACTGCAAAGTGGGATGAGGTAGAAGAATTTTGTCTTAATCTTACTTATAGATTTTAGCTGCTCCATCCATCTATCCATCATCTATTCCAGTGTTTTAGGATTTAGCTGAGGACCCTCCACGTACTAGGCAAATGCTCTATGACTGGGCTGCACCCACATTCCTGCTTTATTTGATAATTGGGAAGTGCTGGCCTTGTCTCTAGAGAAGGAAGCTTGCCTGAGCCTGTCTGGCTCCAAGGAGCTCTCCTTTCTCAAGTGGGATGGGCTTCCTTGCGAAGTTTGAAAAGTTTCCGGTGTGTAAACAGATGAGTATACTTATGTCAGGACAGGCGAGGCTTACTTCTTCTATCCGTGTCCCGCCCACATCAAACCAAGTGAGTGGTTCTTTAGTCTTAACTGGGTAACTTCATTTACATTTATAGCCCATAGCTAGCTCTATTTAGGAAAGCCTAGAGTTCACTGTGGGCCTTCATGGTATTAGCTGTTGTTTCCAGGTCTCTACTGTAGGGCAAGAAACATCAACAAGGATACAGCCACCTTGGCCAATGCTATCACCAAAGAAGCAAGTAACACAAATCTTACATAAACCGTCTCCTTTCGATCAATGTGATAGCAAAAAGCAGAATACCTTGTTTTTGTCTGACTCATACACCAGGTGCCTGGCTTCTGCCTGTGCATGGTCATAATCTTGAGGGAGGATCCAGTGTCGGATCTCATCCTTGTCCAGTTTCCCATCCTTGTTCTGATCCCGGAAGTCATTGAACTGCTCCCGTTCTGACAAAACCCAGTCTGGCTCAGGGCCACTCTCCTCATGGGAAAACATGTCAGCTAGAAAGGAAGGTTGTTCTTAGTTACAAAGCACACATAGGAAGGTAAAAGCCTGCCCCCCCACCCCAAAAAAATACTACCCTTGAGGTACTAACCCATTAGAGACCTAGGTCACAACTGGAGGCCATGCATTAGGTACTTAGACTGACCCATCATGAAAGCCACGAAGACAAGACCTGACGTTAGGAGCCAGAAGATGAATCTTAGCTCTTGACTCAGTTCAGGGATTGAGATTATGTTACTGAACTCAGTGACTAAGATCTCAGTGTGTCTGTACAATGGAAATAATAATTGATAAACCACAATGATCAAATGGCACTAAAAGATGAAAACTATCAATGACCAACACGGAGCACTTACTATAGTCCAGGTCACATGTCAGGTATTTTACATACTCTTTTTCATTTGATTTCCTTTGCAAGTTTTGTAAAATAGGTGCTACTGTTATTCATACCTTACAGGTGAACCTGAGGCTCAGCCCCAGCCTGCAGCGCACCGCCAGTCTGAGTGGGAAGACCCTGGGAACATGGGTACTTCCCTAGGCTCTGGGCTCACTGGCATCATCATTTCTATCATTCCAAGGGCTTTCACAGAACATCTCATTTCATCCTTCTAGCAGTTTTCTGGGACAGATCCTTCCTCTCCACAGGCAGAGCAGCAAGGAAAGGAAATGACTACCACTGGGTCTTCTTAGCAAACAGAAGCCCTATTTCTCTATGATGGAGAAATTTAGAAAGAATGGGAGAGAAGACAGGCAGTCAGACAGATCCAGAGAAAAAGAAAGAGAAAGGGGAATGTCATGTGATAGAAGGAGCAGGTAAAAGCAGGAGCAGAGGAAAAAAGTATGGCCCAGGCCCTGAGTTCAAGCCCCACAACTGACAAAAGAAAGCGAGAAGAATCATGGCTCTTAGCTATTTAAGAGGAGCTATCCAAAGAGACGGACACCTGATATTTACATACTGTCACACTGCTTCTGACAAAAGGGTTTTTTTAAAAAATTGTTATTGTAAAGGTGATATCCAGAGGGGTTTACACAAGTCAGGTAATGAGTACATTTTAACAAAGGGTTTTTGAATGAGCTAACCAGAACTTCATCTGGTCCCGTAAGGATAAGAGCTATTTATTCTCCTTTTGCAGATAAGGAAACTGAGTGATTATATGACTCCTTCAGAGTCACAAAGCTGGTGGATGGGCAAGCCAAGGGCTCCTGATTCTGCTGCCCTTCTTACTAGTATCACCCATTGGCCATTTTCCTCTTGGCTCTGACAAAAGAGAAAGCCATCCTGGAAATGAAAAGATACTGCCAGTTAGGCAAGGTGAAATAGGGTCTTTCCAAGCACATGTCACCCCAAATTTTATTTTCAAGCCTACTCCCCCTCTCTTACCCAGTATACAGAATGACATGCTTACGTCATGCTAAGCCCCTGAAAAAGTTTTGTCCCTAGCTCGCACCATTATAATGCAGAGTTCAGGGAACTGTTCATCAAAAGTACCACACTGTTTATCAGTCAGTCTTTTCTGTCAGTCTAATTCTACCACCATTGTCACATGACACATCACAGGCTCTGAATGCTTTCCTCCCACAGGTGCCTCATAAGAGGAAGGCTTCAAGGATGTAGCTGTCAGCATCATTATTCTATAAAGTGCCATCAAGATCACTTTAATTACTGCAGCGAGAGCTACCTGTTACCAATGACAGCCAGGCAACAGTGTTCAGCTCTCAGAACTAAATACAATTTCCAATGATGAGTGATGACTTTGCCTGTCCTTGTGTATGGAGTAGCCAAAATAATGTACCCACAAAACCAGAGACTGAGAGCAACCGAGACCCAGTTTTACTTTTGCAGGTAATTAGCTACCTCTTAAGTGTATGTCCAACAAATGTCCCCATCCCTCTTTCATAGTCAATGATTTCCCAGCTTTTTTCCTAATAGAGACAGGGAAGAAAGAGCTGTTGTGAACAGACAGCAGTGAGCAGTGAGCCACAGTAGTTGGTGGGGGTCAGATGGGAATTATCTTGTTGCTGGCACCAGTTCTTTACATTGTGTTCTTTACATTCTGTGACACCAGGAAGGGCTCTAGAGGCTTCTAACTCCATGCAAATCTGACTTTCAGGCTGCCAGCACTCACAGCCATCTGAACATACACTTCTTGTATTCCTACTTGAAGCCCTTCAGAAGCCAACGCTAGATATGGCTGGATTACTGGGCAATTCTGCCTTGGGAAGGAGCTGCGGCCTTTCTGCAGAGAGCTCCAGCTATGCCTTCTCAGGGATTCTAGGCTGGGCCGACCTATGGTCTGAGTTCAAAATCTTCCCCTTCCCACTGTCTACTCTGGCCTGACCTCTCCAATCCCATTTTCCAAGGACAAACCAGGGCTGTGTGATGAAGGGGAACTCTGAGAGCCAAGGAGCCAGCTGCTGGCCAGCCCAGTGGTCAGGCAGCCTGTTGGCCTCTTCTCCACTGAATGAAGCCTACGTTTGCTACCAAGACTAATGTGACACATAGGGCTACCACATGGGGAGGCCCCAGAAGTGACACCAGCAGACTTGTAGCAGCTGTTGAAAGAAGTCTGGGGTAAAGCATTCAATGTGTGGGTGGAGAGAACAGCTGAGCGAGCCCAGTCCAGCAACTCACCAATGTACTCGTCCTGGTCCACAAACCCATCCCCGTTCTTGTCAATGTCCTCCAGGGTTTCCTAGGAAACAATGCAAGATTGCTCTAAATGAATCTGAGCATTGTATGTTGTCTTCTCTGGTTCATAGTTTATGACAAAATGCTTGGCAACTTTTGGCTCATTCCTTTACCTCCCCAGACATTTTATCAGAGAGGGCCGATCAAACCATAAATGGAAGGGATATAAGGAGCTGTCCAAAAGATACATCTGACTGGGATCATCTATAGTGGAGTTGTAGAGTAAAAAACAGACTTTATGTTAAATGGTTTCTGTGGGGGGCTATTTATTACAGCAACAAGTTTGTTCTGACTAGCTTCTTGGGTAGACAGGTATTAAACCTATTGGATTTCACAGTCTTTCTCTAACAAAAAAATCTCTTGGAAGAAGAAACAAAATATAGCTTTCTACCTAGATTTTTCCCAGTCCAGGGTCTTTATTGGTCTTACCAAAACCACAATTTCTTTCATATGCTCAAACTCCTCAGGGTGCAGAAAGGCAGTGAACTCCTCTCGTGTCATTATCAGGTCTCCATCAAGGTCTGCTGCCTTGAATCTTCTCTCATCACGGGGCAGCATCTTTTTGAAGGTGTGATGATCGGAACTATCTTGGAACTCACTGGGATTGCCTACAGGATAGATGGAGAAATACTTAAACTGTGCTACTAAGGAAGGTCCTTCCTTCCAGATCACTAATCCTTCACATCCAAACTGTACACATCAGACTAAAGATCCTGACATACTGAGTTTTAAAAATCCTATCTAGATCAGCTCTAGTATCTCCAAGTCATCCCATAATCAAGGGCCTAATACATGTTTAGAAGCTTGATAGCTAGTTGTTAAGATGGTTTATTCCATACAAAATCAGAATTCCATTGTCATCATATCCTTCTTTGATCTATAACATACACAGGATCCCTAGTTCCCAATACATCCTGCCTAAATACTTGTCTGGGTTTCAAGATTCTCTCTGACTCTGTGTGTGCATCTTGGTTCTCCTCGGGCCTGTTTCCTCACTGCCTCTATCAGGCCCCATTCATAGGTTTGTACTCCATTCTTTGCCTATACTCATTCCTCATTCCCCCAACCCACTGTGTCTTACTTTCAAACAGTACAGTGCTATATCTCTTCCCGCTCCAACTCCTGCACTTTACCCACCATTCTCTATCTCTCTGAGGTCCAAGAGGCCGCCTTCCCTGAGTGCTCCAGAATATTTAATCCTTACTTCCCAAATTTGAGTAGCAATTTGAAATTGTATTACAGAGACACTGCCTTTCGGTGAGCCTCTGAGATTAAGTTCAAGTAGGACAATGGCCTATTAGTGTCTCATACCTTCCCAACATGAATGACTTCACTTGAAGTACGCAGCTCAGTATATCCTCAATAAGCAGAGAAGGATGTTATACAGTAGATTCACACCTCAGAGTTGTGTCATCTGACCCAAGGGGGTGGCCACAATGAGAGAGAAATGGGTCTCCGGCAAGAAGCTTGTTATCTAAGTCCCACCTATATAACTGCTTCTGTAGCACCTCTTACCTAGGTAGTAGCCATAGGTGGCTTGTTTGTATTCTTCCCAGGAAATTTTGTCGTCTTTGTCCCTATCATAATCCTTCCAGACTTTAGCGACGTTATCATAGATGTATCTTTTCTGCACCCGTTTGATCCAAACTTTCAGCTCCTCACTAGTGACAAAGCCATCCCCATCACTGTCAATTCGATCCACGATCTTCCTGTAGTTAAAAAACAAAACCCACAAGGCTATTATCAAGGCTTGTGTGATCTTGCTCTAGCAAAAGATCAAACCCTTGCATAATCTAATGCATAAATTGCAATAGAATCAATGATAGATGGTACTGGGAAGGATCTTAAAGTTTATCTTTTTCGAAGATAATATGTCTTTCCCCCATTGTCAAATAGTGCCAATGGCAGACTTTGCTAATGGACCATGTTCCTCCATCCTGATAAATCTAGATATGACCCTAGAATTCTCAGCTCAGTGCTCTGGTACTGTGTTGACCTAGAAGATGAAACCTATTAGTGTTTTCTACTGTAGGCTAACTCCTAGACAAATGAAAACTGAGACCCAGAGAAATGGGATGACCTTTCTAAGATCACATAGCTAATATTTAGTACAAACTGGAGTTGTATATTTTTTTATAGCTCAACTCCAATGCAAAAAATAGGAAATTACGCATAAACTAAGACAAGTAAGTCATTTGTTTTTGACTTTAGTTCCACCATATTGGGTCACAGACTTAAAACTCAAAGCAGGAAATCAGATCTTGTTGGACAAAGTGTAAAGTGTCCATAGGATGAAAGAACCTGTAGATCATGGAAGCTAATCCAGAAATTTAACCAAATGAGCAACTGCAGGACCCCTGTACTCAGCTCTTAAACAGTGAAGACACTTCTGCCTCCTGGCCTCCCCTGCCAGCCAAAGTCACAGTGGTTTGCCAGTAGATTCTACTAAGGCATTCTAAATGCAAATTCAGAGCAATTTCAGGTTGGAAACACCACAACCATACTGTATATCTATCTCTAAGCCAGATGTTCCCGAGAAAGAATATAATCTCTAGGATATCTCGAGTTGTTTCCCACTGCTATTCCCCATGTTTAAAAGGAGTTTCACCCTACAGGTAGTCCATTTACCTGGGATGAGGCTATACAAGCCAACTATAACTTTGTTTTGTTGTTTGGGGCTGGAATTCTATTCACTTCAGTGGTAAAAATTTCTTGCCAATAGAAGTTCTGATGGACAGTTAATCTTTGATTCATTGGAAGAAACACAAAATGAATTCCTTAGTTCTTCCTAGCTCATAACTAGTACTTCTATAACTCATTACTTTTGGGAGTGGCTCAAAATAAAGCAACAGGGTGAAGGTGAGTGAATCGTCAGTCAATACCTCCTACCTAAAAACTTAGGAAGCTCCATCTCCTGTTTCTCTGGAAGATATGAACAATACTAACAGCTTTAAAGTGTCCCTTACTTCACAATTTAACAGGTCTTGAGACTGAAAGACTTAAGCATGACATGTCCTCAGGGTTGACTCCAGGATTTCCCCACAAGACACAGCAATTTCTTTCAACACTGAGTAGTGCTGAGCCCATCCACCGGGCATTGCTCCAAGTCTGGGTACACACAGAGTGGCAGAAAGTCCATCAGGAATCCACAGCCACCACGGGAACAGTATCTCTGATCAGCAAATACCTAACAAACATCAGACTATATAGCCCTCTTTAAAGGACAGAATAGCATTTAATTTACAACAAATAAGGATCCAGGATATAGGTCAGCCGGACACACAATGGGGGCTCAATAATTACTTGAAGGACAAATATAATCCAAACTGTCTAGCAAAATCTCAAGCCTGGAAGATAGTGGAAAAGGTGGCTGTCACATAGATAAAGCTGAGTGCTTTCATCTGAACACTGGAATCTGAGTCCTGGCTCTGGTTCACTTTATCTGTGTGACCTTGGACATGTGATGTCAGTTTCCCCATCTGTAAACTGACTTCCCAAAAAGGATGGTAAGGAATAAAGGAGGGGAGGAGGGTCTTTCCTTACTATATGCAACAACCTAGGTCAAGGGTGGATGGAAAACTCCACAAATGAAATGAGCGAGGCCTCTGAGAGGCCTGTGGCATCTGGCTACTGAGAGATCCCTTGTCAGGTGCCAACCAAGGCTGCCTGACTGCGTGTGAGGAGAAAGTAATCTGGGTCAGTATATGAAACTAATCTGGGTCAGTATGTAAAGTCACTCATAATTTAAATGTTGGCAAGTGGGTCATTTTTTCCCCCTAAGACTGTATAGAAGGGCACCGTTGGAGATTGCATGTGATCTATGGGTCTGTAATTTGTAAACCTCTGGCCTAGGCATCTCTAGGGGCCCTTAGAGGAATCTCATTTTTAGAAATGATCAGGCAGTATGGACAAATTTGCCTGTGAAGCTCTTCTCTCACCAGTCCAGGCTTGGAGGGGACTCTGAAGGCTGTGGACAGGAAGGTGGTTTATCATACTCAGCACCTCTTCCAAGCTGGACCCAGAATTTCCAAAAGTCCCACCCAGCCTGTAGTCCAGGAATGGGTGAATGTAGCTCCCTATCCATGGCTCAGGCCAGAGACCCAGATGCCATCCTTGCTTCCTTCTCCTGCTTCTCTGCCATACTGAGCCAGAGTGGTACTGGTGTCTGGATTCATTCTCTCTTGCTGCTCATGCTTGTCCTTTCCCTGCCTCAACCCTGCCTGCCTGCCCTGTGCCTCAGTTCCGATCTCCATCCTGTTGTCAGAACTACTTTCCCAACAAGGTTTGGGATCAGGGCATTTCTACAACATATAGAATGGCATCTCATCTCCACCTTTCCAAGACTGGTCCCATTCTTACCCTACTTTTCCCTCTCAACTCCCTTTTCACCTTTCCTGTTCCTCAAGGGATCCATCACTCCTCTTGTCCCAGAACAGAGTTCAAAACCTTTATAAATTGGCTGCTCCTTCTGAAATGCCAACCCTTGTTGTATGCCTGACAAGCTCTGGGGCATTCTGCAAGCTCTGATACGGTGACATGGAATGCTCCTAAGTCTCTCTCTCCAGATCGAAGCCTAGGGACGCTTCCTGGGTGTGCTTGGCAGTGGTTTTAACATGCCACTGTTATACCAATTATGTATGGTATCTGTCCTTCACATTTCAATAGAAGCACTTTAAGGCATAGAGCATAATGTTTGATCTTTTAACTCTCAGATGTCAAACATGGATGCCTGGTACACAGTAGCCAGCCCCGTGTTTGTTGCATGAATAAAATGAATGAAGCCAGACTTTTTTGATAAAGATCAAACCCAAACCAACTACCTCAATCAGCCTTTGCTCTTACTATTAGGTTAACCTAATGGTAAGATGAAGGCATTAAATGAAACTACAGGACCAAAAGCTAAAGTTCCCAATTCCTCTGTTCCCAGTCCTTTCCTACTCTACCTCCCCACGCCTCTTCAGGGACAAAGCACCCACCAAGGCTGCCATCAGGGTTACACAGCAAATCAGTCACCAAGTGCCTCAAAGCCCCACAACACAGTGAATCTGTCAATGGTCTCTATTGTTAAATTCCAAACAAGAAGAGAAAGTACTTCTCTGCCAAATAAAAGGTTAATTGTTTGGAGGTGACTTTGAAGTTCAAAGATCCTTTTATCACAACTTGCAGATGGTACACCTACACAATAGACATCATTTATCCTCCTATGCTACCTGGACATACTGACTTTGGGTAGCCTCTGCAAGCACAGGGGTGGCTATGTTCTTTTTAATTGTAGCGAGACAGGAAGATCCTCCACCACTAAGAAGTTGGTTCTGGAAGCCCTAGTGCCAATAGCCACTGTTCATGAGTGGGCGCATGCACACCCTCCCCAGCCCTGCCTCTTCTGGGCCCATGCTGGCTGCTAGTTTCTAGATAACTCAACACAATACCAAACTGTATCCCCAGTTCTCCTCAGAGGAGAACCAGGGGAGGGTGTACTGAGAGTTCTAGGTTGTTTCTTTCCCAGGTTTGGGTTCCAATTCTACTGCTAAGTTCAAGAACCCCCACCACTCTATAGTCTTTTGTTTTGTTTTGTTTTGGTCCAGCTGTGGGGCCTGAACTCTGGGCCTGGGCTCTGTCCCTTAGCTCTTCAGCTCAAGGCTAGCGCTCTACCACTTGAGCCACAGCGCCACTTCTGGCTTTTTTTTTTTCTGCTTATGTGGTGCTGAGGAATCGAACCCAGGGCCTCATGCATGCAAGGCAAGCGCTCTACCACTGAGCCACCTTCCCAGCCCCACTCTATATTTTTGTGGGGGGTTTTGCCCCTAACAACTAGTTGCCAACGATGTAAGTGTCTGACATTTGCTGGAAACAGAAACAAAAGGCCCAGTTCCCATCTCTGTCCCCTTTTACTCTTCCCCAGATCATTTTGTAACCCCCAAATTTCCTTCCCTACTTAACAACCAGACTTTTTAAATCCCGACTTGAGATTTATGGGACGATTAGTCCCGGTTCCCAGATTACAGACCCGGAATCCAGCCATTTCATCTTGTATCCCATTCCTTAACAAGGGTCTGAAACCTCCTCTCTCCACGTGAGAACGAAGCGAGGAACTGTAAGGGTGGGCAAGAACTGCACTGAAGGGCCACGGTGGACAAACTTCTTTTGTAGACTCTCTCCCCTCCCTTCTGATGCAACCAAGAGGAGGGGGCGGGCCGCTCCGTCCCGGCTCCGGCGAGGCCGCTGCCACGTTCCCCGCGGGAAGCCACCCAGGCCGGGGTGTGGCACCGACCTCCACTCGGAGGTCCGGGGAAAGGGAGGGGGGTGTCCGCAGACAACTTGGCCCAGGCCCGGCCGACCCCCGACCCCGGCTCCACACACGGCGATTTCCGCTTTCGCTTTGCGCTGGGGGATCCCGCGTGGCTCCGGTGCCCGGGGTCCCCGCGGGCACCTGCGTCGCCCACCACCTCCCCCCACTGCCCGCGAGCGGCCCGGGCCGCGGCCTCACCCCAGCCTCTCCTTGCTCTCGTCCGGGGTGAGCTGATCGAAGGTCTTGGAGTCCTCCTTGCCCAGGAAGGCCTCGTGATCGTACTGGAAGCTCTGGTTGTCTTCGGGCGGCCGCTCGCCCAGCTCCGAGTCGGGCCGCACCACGCGCTCCTTGCGCACCGTGGGCTTGGCCCGCAGCGCCCGCGGAGCCAGCGCCAGGGCCAGCAGCAGCCCCAGGGCGAGCCCCAGGCGGCGGCCACGGACACCGCTGGCCATCGTCGTCCGGAGGAGCAGGAGGTGCGGAGCGACCCGACCCGAGCGGTGGCTCCGGAATGGGGGGGCTCGGAGCACGGGGGCCGGGCGGAGGGGGGGCGGGCGAGAGGGAGTGGGGAGCCGGCTGGGGCGGGGCCGGGCCGCTGCAGGGCCCGCCCCGTACCCCGAGGAGGGGCGCGCCCCGCGCTGGCGCGGGGAGGCTGCGGGGGCCTCGCTCACGCGCCCATTGGCCGCTGCGCCGGCGGCGGCCGCGGGGGAGGCCGGGGATCGCGGAGCCACGTCGCCCCGGGCCGGGGTGGTGGGCGTCCGGGGCTGGGGTTTCCCTTCGGCCCCGCCCCGCGATCTCACCCGCGAGGGGGCGGGCCTGGACGAGCCGGGGCGGGACCCTGGAGCGCTCTGTGGGAAACCGGGAAGAAGTTCTTTGTCAAGCAACAGATGTTCCAGGATTAAAAAAAAAAAAAAATCTCTTTATCCAGTTCCGGAGAAGTGTAAAGGCATCAGGCTTCCAACCCAAGACCCGGAACCTCGCTGCCATCTGCGCCCCAGATGAACTTTAAAGCCCACCCGAGTCTTTACTTTTGCACACTCTGAAGTCTGGTTTCGGGTACAGCCGACTGGAAGGGGACGGGATGGGCGTGGCGCCCCGAGGGCCAAGCTCTGGGTAAAGTCTGGCTTGGAGCTGACGGGGATGTAGGGGGGGAATTGAGAACCCGTTCCCCCCAGGACGTCCCAGCAGCCAGGGGGAACGCAGGCCTAGGGCCCAGACCGTGCAGATAATTTGGTTTTGGGTTTTGTTTTTCCCCCCAAAGCAATCGAAATCTCACATCTGTGAAATCATTCCTGCCTGTAGATTGATGCTTCCAGTAGAAGTTCTGTGCCTTGGACCTTCCTGCGATGATGGAAATGTTCTCTCCCTGGGATGTTCTATACATATTAAGCACCCCGCATTGGACAAGGAGCTTAACAGAGGAATTGTATTTTCAGTTTTAACAGCCTCACGTGGCTAGTGACGGTCATATTGGACAATGGAGCTGTTGGCCCTTTTCTAGAAAATGCATACACAGCTCAAAGTGTCAGGGGGCTAAAGGGACTTCTGAAGTTCTAGTTAAGGGTTCCTAAAACAAAAGGTGGTCAAAGAGAGAAGAGCTGGGCCCCCAGGAATATCCTCCATCTTCTGGCACCTCACCCACCTTCCCGACTGTGCCGCTTACCTTTTTTTTTTTTTTTGGTCGGTCCTGGGGCCTGAACTCTGGGCCTGGGCACTGTCCCTCAGCTCTTCAGCTCAAGGCTAGCGCTTGAGCCACAAGCCACTTCCGGCCTTTTCTGCTTATGTGATACTGAGGAATCAACCCCAGGGCCTCACGCATGCGAGGCCAGCACTCTACCACTGAGCCACCTTCCCAGCCCCAACCTTCTGCCTTTTTGAGAAGCCAGTTAAGGCATTGCCAATATCAACATAGATGTAAAGATTTTATTTTTGGCAGCCATTGGTCTCGAACTCTGGTCCTTGGCGCTGTCCCTCAGCTCTTCAGCTCAAGGCGAGTACTCTACCACTTGAGCCACAGTGCCACTTCCAGTTTTCTGGTGGTTAATTGCAGATAAGAATCTTATGGAGTTTCCTGCCCCAGCTGGCTTTGAACCATGACTTAGAACCCTGATCCTCAGAGCTCAGCCTCCTGATTATAGATGTGAGCCACTGGCACCCAGCTCAAAGATCTTTCTTAGGACAACCGCTTTCAGTTTATTCACAAATGATTACTGTGGGCCTATCATGTCCTGAGCACTCAACATTCAATGGGGGAAGTAAGACAGCTATGCTCTGTACAGAGTTATAGCTTCTAGGTAGTTGTTCATTTATCCTGATGTTCATTTGTTCATATATTCAGTAAACAGAATACCTGCTCAAATGGCAAATGAATGTGACAAGCGATCAGAGAGGAAGGCAATCAGGACTATGGGGCAATGTTAGAGGGACAGGTCTCAGACTTAGAGACCACTCACTCAGGGAATGCTTGCTGGAGTAAGGAATATCAGAGACTAGAGTACGGGGTATAAACTGGAGGCAGGAGTGGGAATGTGAGTGTGGCTAGGGGAGAGGGTGAGGGCAGTGGGGCTGACCTGATGCCCTTGTACCTTCCAGGCTGTAAGACCTTCCGATGGAGTCCTTGGCCCCTCACCTGACCTCAAGTGGACTTGAGTTAAGGAGTGCTCTGTTTAAGGCCTCCTTTGACAATCTAGAGACTAGGATTTCTACCAAAGAAGAACATTACTTTTGGTGTGTTAGAACTTCAAATGCCCTTCAATAATGGGCTTATCTGGCAAGCAGGATTTGAATTGGGAAGAGGTGGGAGGAGTTATAGGGAGGGGTGAGGTTAGAAAAATAAAAGGATTTGGTAGGGAATGGGAAGGTGTGTGCTTATTTGTAAGTTTTTGCCAGGGACTGGCCTGACTCACTGGGATTGATGCGGACTATTAAGAATGACGGCAGGCATGTCCTATTCCTTGTTATATTTGATTTCCTGCCAGACACAAGTGGTTTCCAACAGATTGTCTCAGAGGTAGTCTTGGCTCTTGAGGGAATTACTGGAGAATTCCAGCACTGCTGTGAATACAGAAGTATTGATGTAATTTCCCCTGGGCTTGCTTATGCTCTCTCCCCTCTACACTCCCTGAAGAGCTCAGTAAGTCCTCTCAACCAAAAGATCAGGAAAGGTGATGATACAAATAGTCAAGGTATTGCACAGACTAATTGCTCTTTCATTTCTCCCCTGTGCCAGAATGGTGAGACTAATTGAATACATTGTCATCTCTTAGTATAACTTCCTTTCTTTATTATTATTTTTTAATGCCATTATGGGGGCTTGAACTCAGGAACTGAACCCTATCCTTTAGCCTTTTCAGTGAAGGCTGGCATTCTACCTCTTGAGTCACACCTCCACACTCAGTGTTTTTGGTTAAATGGGCATAAGACTCTCAGGGACTTTCCTACCTGGGCAGGCTTTGAACCCCAATCCTCAGATCTCAGCCTCCTGAGTAGCTAGGATTTTAGGCTTGAGCCACTGGCAGTGGCCAGTATAACCTCCATTCATGATAATGAGGAAGAGAGGGAGTTATCTGTAGCAGTGGGTGGAACCAGTACAAAAGGAAAACAGGTTTCCAATAAGTGAATCAATAGGTATTCAAATCTGCTGAATTGGACTACAGGTAACATGATCAAAATTGCATCCCAAAGGTTACTTAAGGCAATGGGAAAACTTTATCATCTTATGTAAAAGTCTTCAGTTATATCAACTTCAGTTTAGTTCTTGTGACTTGAGGCACATCAAGGAATCAGGATTTTTGGTTTTGGTTTCTTCTCAGCAGCCTGGAACAAAGCAGTGTTTTCTCCCTGTATTGGGGGCAGGGACAAAAAACAAAAACAAAAAACACTTTTTTTTTATTTTTTTTTTATTTTATTTGAAAACATACTGTACAGAGGGGTTACAATTACATGGGCAGGATAATGCATACATTTCTTACCAAGCATTGCAGCCTCCTCCTTTGTTTACCCTTCACCTCCCTTCCCAGCCTCCCCCCTCCCCCCCACCCAATCATACCCCCTCCTCCCCCCCACCGACATTGTAAAGCTGGTTTTGACATGACATTTTGTACTTCTCATTGTTGCAACAGGTCCACCTGAATCCTTAAACGACTTGTTTGTCCCCGTCTCCTCCACATGTTATACTGACATAAAATATAGTGAAAGCGGGGGTTACACTGTGGGGGAGGGACATACAAAGCAACAAAGAAATAATATTATAAATGCGTTAGAAACACATGCATGAATGAAACAAAAACATTAAAATACATATTTGAGGGTTCGTTTTCCTAACATCACATTCTCTGACTTTTTCCGCTTGACTCATACCTATACTAGTTATTGCAAATAAGGGAAACCATGGGACCTATGTTTCTTTCTGATGGAGGCATAGAATTCCATTGTGTATATATACCACATCTTCTTGATCCATTCATCTACTGAGGGGCATCTGGGTTGGTTCCATATCTTAGCTATGGTAAATAATGCTGCAATAAACATAGTTGTGCTGGTAGCTTTAGTGTGGTCTTGTTTGTAAACATTAGGGTAAATGCCCAAAAGTGGGATTGCTGGGTCATAGGGGAGTTCTATGTGAAGTCTTTTGAGGAACCTCCATACTGCTTTCCAAAGTGGTTGAACAAGTTTACATTCCCACCAACAATGAAGTAAGGTTCCTTTCTGTCCACATCCCCTCCAGCATCTGTTGTTGTTAGAGTTCTTGATTTTTGCCATTCTAACTGGAGTGAGGTGATATCTCAATGTTGTTTTGATTTGCATTTCTTTTATGGCTAGGGATGTTGAACATTTCTTCATGTGTCTATTGGCCATCCTTCTTTCTTCTTCAGAGAAGTTTCTCTTTAAGTCTTTTGCCCACTTATTTATTGGGCAGTTGTTTCTTTGAGGATTTGTTGGGGGGTTTAATTTTTTGACTTCCAAGTATATTTTAGATATGAGACCCTTGTCCGTTGTATGGCTAGTAAAGATCTTCTCCCAATCCGTGGGCTTTCTATTGATCTTGCTAGCTATGTCATTTGCCCTGCAGAAGCTCTGCAACCTTATACAATCCCATTTGTCCAACCTTTCTTTGATTTGTTGTGTTTCCGGGTCTCTATTCAGAAAATTTCGGCCTGAGCCGAGGAGACCCAGGGTTTCTCCTATTCCATCCTGTAATGTTTTCAGAGTGTCTGCTTTGAGTTCAAGGTCTTTGATCCATTTGGAGTTGATTCTGGTGCAGGGTGATATATAAGGATCTAGCTTTAGTTTTCTACATGTAGTTAACCAGACAAAAAACACTTTTGCATCAGCCTTCTCTTCACATCTCAATGGCAGAATGGTATCCCGTGCCTATACTGGATCTGATGACAGACAACTGAAATGCAAAGTCCCAGGGGTGGGGAACATCTGGCCTGCCCTCAAAATCATTTGGTACTGATGGTCAGGATAGAGACAGACACAAATGCTTCTAACATTCTTCTCCTAGGCTTCCCATGGCCCATTTTCCTG